AGTACTAGCATAAAGCTCATGGAAAAATTACTGACGTCAGTGGAAAGATTTCTAGGAATATCACTGAGGATTGGGATTGTGCTTTTCCTTTGAAAAGTCCTTCATTTCTGAAATATGCTGTCTGAAACTCTTCATTAATTTGTTAGTATTTAACCATTTTATTTCTTAGTAATTAGGTAGAAACATAAACTATAAATCCAAAAGAGACTACTGTAATAATTTAGCCTGAATTCCTGTGCTAAACTAATAACTAGGGCTAGTTAATATCTGCAGTCATCAGTGATGTTGAGAAGTGAGTGTTAAATAGTGCCAGTCCCAATATCAACCCCTGAGGAACATGGCTCATCACTGGTCTCTACCTGGACACTGAGCTATCGCCTGCAACTGCTTGAGGGCAAACACCTAGACAGCTCCTCATCCAGCGAGTGCTACAGCCATCACATCCATGTCCCTTCAACTCAGAGACAAGGATGTCATGTGGAACACTGACAAAGGCTTTGCACAATTCCAGGTAGATTATGTCAGTTGTTCCTCCCTTATCCACCAGTACTGTAACCCTGTCATAGAAGGCCACCAAATTTGTCAGGTGTGATTTATTCTTAATGAAGCCATGGTGTTCCCAATTGCCCCTCTGTTTTCTACATGCCTTATCATAATTTCCAGGAGGATCTGCTCTGCAATCTTGTCAGGCACTGAGATGAGACTGACTGGCCTGTAGTTCCCCTAGTGTTTACTTTTTCCCTTAATTGATACATAATTTTCCAAAACTATTTGAAACTAATTTAAGACATGCTTTGTTTCATCTTGGAACAGCCACGGGCTCTTTTTTAAAAATATAATCTGATACTCTAAGTAGTATGGGATTATGCATACCAAAGTCATCACAGGGAATAATCTTCAAAGTGTATGTGTAAACTTTGATCCGTACGGTTTAAAATTATCTGAAAATTGTCTGTCTAGCTGTGTCATAATGTTAGAGAAACAGAGAGAAACTGGTATTCCCTGCATTGTTTTACCAAAAAACCAGAAAGATGCTTGTTTTATTAACCATACTTTTTTGTGATAAAGACATTCCTTGTCACTGCATCATTCCTAACTGTTTTTTTTTTTACAAGTGTACTGATGTGTTTTTGATGTGTTTGTACATCAGACTTCATTAGAACAAACACTGCTCTCAAGAATATACTACAATACACAGGCTATTCAAGCTGTAAGAGATTATAATTGATGTAAGGAGGTCATTCTTCCTCTGAAATGTAAAGCATCTTCAATTTATATGAACATAAGAGGAACTATACTGTTTTGCAGCAAGGATCCATGTAGTCTGGTGTCTGACTGCCTGAACTATGGCCACAAGCAGACACTCAGAACTCGATGAGACCAGGGAAAGAGCTTTTGTGAGCAGTCTCCCTGGAATGCTTTCCTGGGTTCTCTTAACTTTCCTCACACAAGGTAGCAGGTAATTCTCAGAGTGATTCAGGCATTCTGCAGTATTGGTTCTACCAAGATTAGAAACTGTGAACTGAATGGTGAGAAGCACAAGCATTTATTTACACTCATTTTCTTTACTTAAAGTGAGGTTGACATGTATGTTTCCAGTGGACAAATCCAGCTGAAGATTAACGGTGTTCAAACCCCAACAGATGTACCATACAAATCTAAGTCTGGTAGGAGACTCACCTTTATATTTTGTTTAATCTTTTCTACTCTTTTGAAAAATTACATGATAATGCAAACCTCTCTCAAGATAGAGATCATTTTATTATGAGAAACAATTAGATGATTTCATTATAACTTCATCCTGACTTTCACGGGAGTGATAGGAAAGATGAGCAAAGAAAGAGATGCCAATACTGTGTATCTGTAAACCATATAATGCAAGGCTACGGACCCTTGTGATGTCAACAAAAACTCAAAGAATGGGCAACCAAATCTCCCCCTGCCCTACCCACTGACTGCACTAAGGCCCCAAGAATCTGACTGGTGGTTAAGGTTGGATCCTAAAATAGTAACTTCTCATTTTGCTCATTTGTTGCAGGTCTGCTGATAAGCAGTGAAAAGGAAGGCTTGTCATTAAAAGCCCCTGAATATGGTGTAGAAAAACTATATTATGATGGACATAAACTTGAGGTATTTTTTTATTATTATTTTCAGAGGATTTATTTTTAGAAGAAAAACACCTAAGAGTGTCTTTTCTTTATTTCCACAAAGATTCAGGTTGCTTTCTGGATGGTTGGAAAAACATGTGGTATTTGTGGAAAATATGATGCTGAGAAGAAAAGGGAGTATCAAATGCCCAGTGGATATTTAGCTGAAGATGCAGTGAGTTTTGCTCAGTCCTGGGTCATCTCAGAAGACACATGTACTGGAGGTATTTAGATTCCATCATTACTGCTTACTAATTAAGTAGTCACATGAGTAACCGTAAGATTTACATAACTAATTTATTTTATCATATTATTTTTGTCATTACTCTTCTTGCGATGAATGGAAAGTTAATTTTTTTTTTCCCTGAGTTTGGCAGTTCACTGCAAAATCTGGATTTGTTGCATTCTTGTGTAACTTCTTCCACATTACCAAGCTAGTTGAAATTTGTGTGTTCTAGATATAATTATAAACATAAATCTTCCTAAGCTGATAAATTAATATGGAAGCTAGGTGGTTTGACTGTTGACAAAAGACATTGTATCTTGTCCATAACAGTTGTGGGGTTTTTGTTTCCTTCTTTCTTTTTCTTTCTTTCTTTCTTTCTTTTTTTTTTTTTCAATTTCCGTTATGTTATTTCAAGCTTTTAAATCCCATTAAAAGATATCTACATATCTAGTTCTGGCTAAAAACATAGAGGGAACCTGTGGTGGGAAATAATTATTTTAATTTATTCAGGCTAAAGATGGAATTAATCTGAAACTTTCAGCCTGTGAATGACTGCTCTTCCCATTTTGCTCCTGTATGAAAACACATAACTGGACACAGTAGGGTACACCGCATTTTGTATGGGAACCAACTCTGCAGGCAAGCCGTGGCATTTTTGGAACATACTCTTCCATCAGTCTCCCTTGAAGACGTGGTCTAGGCATGCTCAGCTGTGATGACAGGCACAGTGCAGAAGTGCACGTATGGTTGTGTAGGAGCCACAACAAAACTTAAGTGCTGTCACAGTTTGGGTAAAGCTTAGGGTCAGCTGAGCAAGGTTTTCACAAATATCTATCTTTTTTTATTTCTTCACCTGTGCCTGTGCTGGGGATTGTATCCCAAATGCCCCATTCTCTCACAGAGTTTGACAGAAAATAGCCTTCCCTTCAATGAGAGTAGTTTTATATATCTTGTGTCCCTCAATATGTTCACTGGTCTTAATTGTTGTTAATACTACATACTGAATTCAAAAAAGTTATTCATAGAAATTCTCTAGTTTATTTAAAAGAATTCATGTTTTATAGCTTGCAAGCTGCAGAGGAAATTTGTCAAAATTGAGAAGCCAGTTGCATTTGACAAAAAGGCCTCAAAATGCTTTTCCATTGAGCCAGTTTTACGCTGTGCAGAAGGCTGTTCAGCAACCAGGACTGTTCCTGTCTCTGTGGGTTTCCACTGTGTACCATCTGGTGAGTATACAAACTCTGTGCTTGTGCAACATGTGCACAGCACAATGCGTGCGTTAGGATGCAATTCCTCAGGCTCAAAGGAGCCCTTGCTGTTCTCTACAACCTAACTAGTTGTTGTAGTTACTAGTTGTAACTAGTTATGATGAGAGGTAAAGGCCTTAAGCTGCATCAGCAGAGATTCAAATGGATATTAGGAAAAATTTATTCTCTGAAAGGGTAGCGATGCATTGGCACAAGCTGCCCAGGGAAGTGGTGGAGTCATTGTCTCTGGAGGTGTTCAGAAACTGTGTAGATGGGGCACTGAGGGACATGGGTTAGTGGCACTGAGACACATGGATTAGTGGGTGTGGAGGGGATGGGTTGATGGTTGGACTTCATATTAGAGGTCCTTACCAATCTTAATACTTCTATGATTCTATGATTTCTACTCTTATGCTGCTCCCTACTCCTCCTCACCACAGTGAAATACAAAGCCATTGCCCACCTTAAGGCTCCATGGGATGTAGATACATAAACTCAGCTTATGTGTATAGGAGAAAAAGTTCAGTCTTAGGCAGTCTCAGGCATCCCATTTCACCCTCTCTGGATAAAAAATGAGGATGGGATATTTCAAAATCTTTGCACACCAGCAAATAAGCCTTATTAGCAAGCATCTTAGCTAGAATTCATGCTACCTAATATAAATGATCAAAGAAGTGAACTTACTTTTGTAACAATTACATCAATTCAATAGCGATACACACTGAACACACAAGCACGAGTCTACTCTTACTTTCAGGACTTTTTGTGGAGAGCTGTACCTACGCACACATTTTGGGATGAACTTTCATGCTGTTTATGTAACACCACGTCACTCACACGCCGATGTGAAAAGCTGTGAATCTTTCAGGTTGATCATAGCACGAGTACCTCGACGTATTAACAAACCCCTCACGCGGCTCCTTTCTCCTCTCATTTACAGACTCCACACTCGAGCTGGAGGAGAGGCAGGTGAGGTTAGACCAGAAGTCGGAGGACTTGGTGAGCAGGGTCGATGCCCACACGGCGTGCGCCTGTGCCCAGCAGCCGTGCTCAGCGTGACGCTCCGTATCACGCGATGCATCACGTTTGCTATCGGCGTAAGCGCTCACTGCCGAACTGCGGACACAACCGTGTTGGCCGGCAAAGCCGAGGCCGAGCCTGCTTCACACTACGCTGTTTTCCTCCGCAGTTATTTTGAGCTCCTCACAATAACTGTGGATTCCCTTAAGCAGGTTTCATCTTTTAATAAAACACTGTTCTTTAAAAGCACCTCAGTGGAGACGATTATTTCCTCCTGCACGCGTACCGCCCCAATCAGAACCCTCCAGCCCGGACCCGGCCCGGCCCTGCGGGGAGGAGCTGCAAGCCCGGCCCGGCCCGCTCGCCGGCACCGCCCGCGGAAGCGGAGCTAGCGGCGGGGTGTGACATGGCGTGCCGGGGGCGTGCGGGGCTGCTGTCGCTGCTGGGCCTCCTGCAGCTGCTGGGCTGCGCAGCTGCGTGTCCCTGCCAGGACCCGCGGCTCTGCCAGCCCATCGCGGGCACCGGCGGCTTCGAGGTGCGCGTCCCGGTGCTGCTGGAGCTGTTCCTGCGGGCCGGCTGGCGGGGGGGAGCGGTCGCAGTGCGGGGTGACCCTGGCTGTCCGGGGCGAGCCTGGTGTTTGGGGCTCCTGTGGTGGCCGTGGGCAGCCCTGGGCACCTCAGCCCTTGACTCCCTGCTCTGGTCCAGCAGAAAGTCGTGTTCTGCAACGGAGAAGGGTTTAGAATTGATGAGATGGCCTCTTACCACCTCTAGGTGTTCGTGTTCGATGTGGGGAAAGAAGCCTGGAAATCCTATGACTGGTCAAAAATTACAACCGTGGCAGCTTTTGGGAAATACGATCCAGAGCTCCTGTGCTTTGCTCACTCCAAAGGCGCCAGGGTGGTACTGAAAGGTGGGCTGCTTCATCAAAATGTGGGTATTTGTAAATTACCAGGAGCATAATGTACATAGCACTGTAATACTGTGACATTTCACGTCTGCTGCTATGCAAGGTATTAAAAATCAGTGAGTTGTTAATGACTAAGAGGATAGTGCACACAGGGTTATCTTACCTTGACCTTTTGCATGTGCTGGTATGCAAGGTATTTATTAAAACCAACCTTGTCTTGTGCCACAGTAATAACAAAACCATTCCAGTGACATCTAAATAAATGGTCTCTAACAGAGAGCATCGCAGCAGGAGGAGAGCAGGGAAGAAGAGAGAGAAGGAAAAGCCTGTAGAAGACAATATTTGGTCTGTCTTCTACATATCATGTGCAATACCCAGAAGACAGGGTAAAGACAGCGGTTGCAAGTTATTTTTAGCATTTTTCACTCAATCCTTGTATGTTACAAGTGTGAGTTTGAAAACATGAATACTCAGGAAGTGCATGTACAAAAGCTCATTAGAAAGGCAAAGTCCATCATGTCAGTCTGCACATGTGTGCCGTAATCAAGTCTAGGATCTGCCAAGGCAAGAACAGGATCAAAGATGACAGTGTGGAAAACAAGAGGGGTTGAATGTAAAAGCACGTGCATCAAAGCAGAAAAAGGCAGTTCCTTTGGATCTCTGGAAATCCAGGAAGTCAATTGCCTTCAAGAAAGGAAATTTACAGTGGCTGAGAGTAATAGGCAGAAGGAAGGAGACGGAATTCCAAAAGGAACTTTGTTTTAAACACAGCTGTCTTAAAGAAATTTAGTAATCTCTCCTGGTGTGGGTTCTCAAAATTATACTTACTTAAAAAATTAAATTAAGCCCTTTCTATTATCCAGGAATGGCACAAGGATGAAATAGATACCAGTATATGTGTGGGGATTTTTATTTTCTGTCTGTGTCAGTTAGCTTAGTAAAGACAAATCTTTTCTCCATTCTGTGATGCAAATACATGTTGACTCTTGGAGCCCTCCTGCCTAGGTGATGTACCTCTTAAGGAAATGGTTGACCCGGATAAAAGAGCAGCGTGGATATCCCAGCAGGTGGACCTTGCCAAAAAACAATATATGGATGGAATTAATATAGATATAGAGCAAGAAGTTAATGAAACCTCTCCTGAGTATTATGCATTAACGGAGCTTGTTAAAGAAACTACAGATGCTTTTCACAAAGAAATTCCAGGATCACAGGTAATGAAAATGTACCTTATGCAAACATTAAGCTTAAACTTAATGAAATACAAGGAGTTTTAACAACACTGCTTAGCATGTGAATATGAAAAAATATGCAGAGCTAATGTGTGATATTATCATCAGTGGTTAATTATGGATGTTAGATCTGATATTCTGTCATAAGAATCACCTCTTTGACCAATCTGAATTTAAATGGAAGAAGGGTTTATCTGAGATTTGTAGGTACAATGTTATTGTCAGTAACTGACATGCCAGTTAGTATGGCCTGATGAATCCTTTTAAAGTAGGGCCTTCTAGTGAAAAAACAGTAAACTGGTTTCTAAATTTTTTATGATTTTGACATTATATTTTAATTTATTTGGTGCTTGAAAATTAAGTGGTAAATTGTGGAAAAACTGAGAAAAACAGCATGTCTAGTTTTGAATTCACAAATAATGGCAGTCACTATTTATTATCTAAAGTTTGTTTTGTCAGCTGAGCGGCTTCTCCTAGACTTTACTGGTATCACTGTGTGCTAAACGCTGTGCAACATTTGGGAAATACTGTCTTTAAAAGATACAGCTCTTTGTAAGCAGAAAACGACTGCCAAAGTGCCATACATGATACTAACATGTATCTCTAACTAACTCTTCCTTGAGGTAACATTTGATGTGGCCTGGTCCCCTGCGTGCATTGATAAGAGGTGCTACAACTACACTGGGATTGCAGCTGCCTGTGATTTCTTATTTGTGATGTCTTATGATGAGCAGAGCCAGATCTGGACCGACTGTATTGCAAAAGCCAATGCTCCTTACCTTCAGACTTTAGTTGGTGAGGACAGGACCTGTTCAGAAATTTAAATATTTGTATGTTCACATGAATAGTTAGAAAAGATTGCCCTTTCTTAGAAATATTTTTTGATTGTACTAAGGTTTTCTAGTAGCCTTAAATACATGTTGTCCTACTGGGAAAATAGCATCTCAGATCCCTCTAACACTGAAGATAGACATTTAGCAATTGCATTTTCACTTGTAAAATCATTATCTTGCACTTGTGGCTGTGGAAGAACACTTCTAGCATGACAAAAGGCAGCCAAAGCAATAGTGTCTGCCTGAGCTTGCAAAGAACCTGCAGCATTTGTCTCATCCTTGTGATCAGTGCAGGTTCCTTTGAAGATAAATTTTAAGAAATGATTCCTTTGGCAACAGGGTGGATTTATTTTTTGCTGGTGCAACTGTTCATGCACATACACAGTGAGCTGGATGGATTACAGAATGGATAGATTTGCTTAAAAATAAGGATAAAAGAGAAGAAATGATTTTAAATTGGAATCAGTTCTCTGATCTGGCTCCCCACACAGACCCATAAGGAACTGTCAGCACAGATGAACTGAGAGATAAATGAGAATCATAAATCTGATCAATCTAGAGCTGTCTGTTTTCTGTTGTTGCTGTTGTTTGTTTTTGCTAAGAAATACCTAGTGAGGATAGTTTGAATTACTGTAAATATGTTAATGCTTATCAGCACTGCTGAGAAAGCTGCTACTGGCAACTTGAACAGAGCCAATTTGGGACTGTGCTGGTAGGAGCTTACATCTTAGTTTCTGTCCAGGGATAATGCAAGTCCTGTGCTGACTATGGCTATAAGTCAGTTGGGAAAATGCAGTAGTGCATTTTAATTTTTACTTCCATCAAAACTAGGGTATGAAGAGTACATTACAATGGGCATTGATCCTAAGAAGCTTGTGATGGGTGTCCCCTGGTATGGCTATGATTACGTGTGCCTAAACTTATCTGAGGTAAGATTAACTGTATGGTTGCAAATGAATAATTCTTTTTTTTTTTCTTTTCTTTTCTTTTTTTTTTTTTCTTTTTTCTACTTCTAAGGAAGAAACCAGCTAGATACTAGTAATCCTGTTTTTGGATTACGAAATACTGTGGTCTGATGGCTAATAGCATAAATTTGGGACTTGAGACTTTTCCTTGTCCTGTTTGCTTATCAGTTACCATCCTCATTGGTAACCTGAACCCTGTAATACCCAAGCAACATGTTTGACTGACTAAAGAGCTATAGATACTATCTGTATGAGAAGAGATAATGTCCAAAGGCTCTGCAACGCTTGTATCTGCCTTCTCAACACAGTTGATTGCAGATTAAGCTCACTGCTTAAACATTAGATGCAACAAACAACAGTAAAACTATGGCTGTTGCAGTACAGCAGCTTATGGATAAATCATGGAATCTCAAATTACACTGTACTTAAGAAAACAATGTAAAAGTGAATTAGAATTGGAAGGGAAATAGGTAAGACAATTGTGTAAGTTGAATGAAAACCAGCCAATGCTGTGACACTATGGTTTAAACAAAATGTAACTGTTTTAATTTACTTCTGTCTAGAAACAACACGACTAGCACAGATATTTAAATATCTAGGAGTTTTGTGGCTTTTGTGACTTTGTTCTTGTCTGTACTGCTATTTTGGAGTTAAATAACACTGTAATGTGTTCCAACCAACCTTCTGGTTTTTTTTTTCTTTTCCTTCAGGATCATGTTTGTTCCCTTTCCAAAGTACCATTCCGTGATGCCCCTTGCAGTGATGCTGCAGGGCATCAGGTGCCGTATGGAGCAATAATGAAGCAGGTGAACAGTTCTATTTCAGGGGCGCTATGGGATGAGGTACAAAACTCTCCATTTTATGAATACAAGGTATGTGTCTCTTCACAAAACACCACACATTGTGGACTACTTGTTTGTGAGCCATAGTTCTTTGACTATAAAATTTTCGGGGTTAGACTTTTTCATTTGTGTTTTCTAGTCTCTCTTCTTTTTCCCTGTGTAGTAGAAGATGACTGGATTTCCATCTCTTCTGTTTCTAGTCTGAAAAGGGAATGTAGTGACTGAGATTACAGGAGTAATGAAGGTTTTCATTGCTCCACAGCTATTATTGAGAAGAAACTGTACCATGTCAAAAAGGGTATTTTGTTCAAAGAAATCCTTTAGCTTGATTCTTCACTGTTACAGATTTCTGATGTTGAAGACTGATTTAAACCAATAGAGATTCTCGGATGCTGTTAAGTTTTTCTAAACTAGTGGCTTGGGTGTTCGTTTCTGCATTTGATTTCTACGTAGTACTACTAAAAGGGTCCACCAATAATTGTACTTCACATGAACACCACTGTTTGTTTCTTTGGGCAGAATTTTCAGTGTAAGGTATATAAGATCAGAAGGTGTTTAAGCAGTGACCAGGTAAAGGCCACATAACTTTCCTAAGAGTTTTACAACTACCTCTAAAAAACATTTATTGCTGGAAAAAAGGGACATAGTTTCTAACTAAATTTACATGCTAGTTTAGATAGCGTGTCTAGATCATAGCTATAGTTAACAAAAAACATTAGAGATTATTTAGGTCTTTTCTTCTAACTTCAGTTAAAATGCATCACTTCTTTATAACTTAAATTCTCTATGTAAAATTATAGCCAAGTATTTGACTTATTTTTTTTAAATTGTCCCGTGTGAGAAACAACCATAAATCAGGAAAGCATTGTAATATAAATACACATAGCTTGTATATCCAACCTTATAATTGTACTTTTCACTGTATTGAATAGAAAGTATAACAAAACTCAATTAACTTTAATATATCATATTTATATAGGTAAGTATATACTGACATTATCTGTTTGCATGTTTTTCTAGGATTCTCTTGGTCGCTTCCACCAAGTATGGTATGATGACCCTCACAGCATCTCTCTAAAAGCAGCATATGTGAAGAATCGAGGCCTAAGGGGCATTGGCATGTGGAATGGAAACAGTCTTGACTATTCCAGGGAAGCTGTAGCAGAAAAACAAACTAAAGCAATGTGGCAAGCCCTGACACCATAAGTATATGAAATCGTGAACTACTTGATTTAGAATTATGAAAATTGGTCACTTCTGATTATAGCATATAGCATGACAGATTTTGACTTTTTATAAATATACCACGATAACAATCAAAATTTTGAGACCTACTGAAATTCATCTTGCTATTTTGTACGTAAGACTGTATTTTCATTCTTTGTAAAGTTGCTTTACCTGTGCACTTTAAAAGACTTCTCATCTTTTTCATTTTTCAAAACAGTAGTAAATTACCTAAAGCTCAAACCTAGTGTTTATCTGGTAACAAGACCAAGTGAATTGACAGGGCCCATATAATAATGGTCCCTGCTAAGGCTGCCTGGTGCAGCAGGTAATCAGTCTGTGGTCACACAGATGCAGACTCAGCTTTCTGACTTCCCAGCCCAACCTGTATTTCAGCAAAGTCATTCCTGAGTATGGCTCAACGCAGATTACTGATAGGCAGATTGCTGCTTAGATGCAGCTTGGTGAAACTTGTGCTTAGAGAGAAGATCTTTTATACATCAAAGGAATTATGTAACATGAAATAATTGCCCTTAAAGTTTTTATCATTCTTCTTCTTAGAAAAGAACGTTCAGTAAACACAAGTTTCACCATATCTGTGTATCATGTAAACTCTTTAGTTTCAAAAGCCAAAAATCTTGGACTTTATCTTGAAGAGATAGCATTAATATTGAAAGGACTGGGATGGTGTTTTCTACCATTTCAAACTTTTCTATTTCCTCAAAACTAGAAGTCAGTTTTCTTATTTAATGAACTGCATACATATTTTTCCACACACTTCAAGATCCACTTAGTTGTCTTTACTTTGCTTTTATGTGGTGTTTCCCCTGAGATAGTAGGGGATTGTATTTTCATTCTAGCTAGTTAATATTCTTCATAAAATAATTTGCCTAGGGAAATTGTGTAACTTGTTCGAGTAACAGTAGTCATGGAGAGACTGTCTGCTGTCCACAGGATTTTTTTATTAAATGAAACACTGCCTTCTAAGATTGATAAATGCTGTTGTCTGTTTATGTATGACTTGTTTCACAGCTTACAGCCACACAGCTTCTCTGCTTCTCAGAAGTGTCTCCTAACCAAAGAACAACTATGCTTTGCTTTAGTCACTCTACTAATTAAAGTTGAATTAGATACATCGAGCTGGCTTTGCTATTTTAATATTAATACTTTAGCACTAAAATTTTTATTAAATCCTTTCTTGAGAAAGAACTCAAAGGAAAGCAGACTGTACAGTACTGTAAGTAGCACCAAGATCATAATTAAAACTTATTGAAGGCAGAGCTTGCATCTTCCACTAATTACAGAATAAGGCTAATGTTTATGCAGCTTTCCTTTGAGAGAGGAAATAATACCACCTAGATATGAAAGAACCAAAAGATTTTGTTCATACTTAATAACGTAGCAGTAATACATTGATATTTTATAGACAAGTATACACATAATGACTAAAATACACTTCAGTAAACAGCTAAACAAAGATTACTTCTGCTCTACTTCTGTGTAAGATGTATGTTAATCATGTATCAAAAAATTAAATGTGTGCCCCAAAATCTGAAAAGAAGACTTTAGATTTTAGGTTTATTTGCTTAGTAGGTATGAAGGAACATCAGCATACTGATGTGATGTCACATGATTCACTGATTTACATTTTTAAATTAGTTTTGTTTTAGATACATGGCTAGGTTAAAATGTAGGTTCATGTAGCTGATAAACCTTTCAGTAATGAGAAAAAGATGTGAGTTGCAGTACATTAGTAGGCTAGTCTACAAATTCCACATCACTTGCATTGCTGATGTCTTTTTACAAGAGAAATTTAAGAGCGTACAGATAAGCAACATAGAAGTTCTGAGCTTCTATATACATTACTGTTGAGTCATGCTCTTAAATTCCAGATTTCCCAGACTGGAGAATTAAAGCTGAATGAATCTTCTTCTGCATCAGTTCTGCTCTCAGTGCTCGTAAATCTGCTATTGCCTGCTTTCTCATCTGCAGAAGAACCAGACATTTAAGGAATTGTAATTTAAAGTAGTTTTCGGAGTTGATGTGCATATGTGTTTATATAACTAAGACTGACTGACTTTTATGCGGGATGGCTGAATACAGGATACATCTTTTATCTTTGAAATCTTACATGTCTAATTAGATAGACAGCTTTGTTTTAGCACTTGGCTGTGGTGTCTTTCTTTAACCATGGAATTCATTGCCTTGTAATACAATGAAGGAAGCATATCCACCCTAGATTACTCAGTAACAGTGCCACAATCTCTGTGATGCAGAGCACTGAGATTTCAAGCATTCAAAGCTGGACTGCTATCCAATATGAAGGCCTCTACCATTTCTAAAGGAGCCATAGGCAGCACTGATATGGAATAAAGCAGTTGACAAGAACTTGCATTTGCCTGGAAAATCATTCTGCCTGGTTTTTTTTCTTTATACCTCACCTACTATGTTTCTTCAATTACTTCTCATGAAAGAGATTGCAACATAGTACCTTGAAAATGTAAGAAAGCGCTTTAATGCCAAAACTACAGCTACTAACCTGATGCTCTGAAGTAATTTGGTTCAAGTGCTAAGGTATGATAACTAATACCATAAAACTTGAAAATACGATCTGTTTAGCAAATATTTAGGTCTTCTAATGTTTGAGAAGATTTTAATAGGTAGTAACATTTTTACTGCTTTAATTAAAAGGTTCTAAGATAAACTCAGAGTACCTTAATTTCTATTACAAGTTTCATTTTTGTACCATCCAGCTTCCTTTTCAGTTGATCAAGTTCATGCTGCACTGTAGTAATCTGGATGATTCTGTTATTCTACATGAAAAAAAAAACCCAAAAACCAAAAAACAAAAACGTTAATGTAGATCAGCATTAAGGCATCTCTTCATTCCCTGAGTGCTACTTCACCACTCAGAAACAATCCTCTGGACTCTTTCCAGTTCTACTCTCTTCCATCCTTCAATGCACGCTTGCTTGTCCTGGTCTGGAAGCAGTCTGCTTGCCAACAGAGGGTGGCTCTCCTCAGCAGCCAGTGGCCTTCCTCCCTTCTCCCTCTCACTTCTCAGATCAGAACTCCTCAGTAACAGCATACTGTTTTGCAGTTTAAGTTGTGCATATCTCATATATAAAGGCTCCTTGTGCACAGCCTAGGAGCCTAAGAACTCTGACTCCCCAAAAAGGATACCAGCATACTTAGACATAGCTTGTAATAAAAATATAGTATAAAAACTTCATATTTTTACATTTTAGGTATTTATGTTAATGTGCATTTATATACACTGTACAATCATAGATCATCTCCCACTTTTCAGACAGGCATAAGATGCACCATGTACTTCCTACAGTTTATGTATTTTCCTATGCCAGATTCAGATTTGCAAATATACTTGCTTCTATGATGCATTTATGAAAGCAGCAGCTGTGACTATTGGGAAGGGCGTTTACCATTTTGGGTTTGGTTTTTTTTTTGTAATTCCTCTATGAACTTCCCCTACTTTGACACCAGCAGCACAGCACAAAACTCACAACTGCTCAACAGTCTAGGTGTAACCATTTCAAAAACTTCAGAGATGTCTCTTCTTCAAGCATAATTACAATTCATTACCTCTTCATGAGAAATTTTGGATTGTAAGAACAATGCAGAACTGAACAACTCAAAAATCACACTGAACAAAAGGATATTTTGTAATGAGACAGTATTGTACAAAAACAAAGCAGAAAGATTCAAAAGCTCAGACTCAAGCCTTCAGCCATTTCAACAAGAACTCGATGGAGTAACTTCATAGTGGCCAAAACTCAGGTTAATGAGGAATATTTGACTGTTACAGCTAATTTAGAAGTCACTGATTGATGATGAATTTGTTACTTTCGTTTATATTTTATACAAGAAAGAGGTTGTGTAAAAAAATTAAATACTTTAAGTACATACCTTCAAGTTTGTTGTATTGTTTGATTGTTTTCGGCTATATCTGGCTTCTAATTGCAAGAGTAATTTCTGGTGGCAATGCTCTAAATCTTGTCTCAGTTTGCTTAAAACATTCTCCAGTGAAACTGTAGCTTTCTTAGTCTCAAAGTATTTCTTCTTCCATTCTTCACGATCTACACAGGAATATATAATACTGTTTGGTTTTGTTAATCTTATTTTAAGGTCTACTGAAGACTGTAATGACAAACTGATCTTACAGGATTCAATTGGCCAATGCAGATATTAAAAAATATCAGTAAGTTTATTTTAAAAGAAAGCAATTTGTGACAATCTTTGTTAAAATTACATTCACTATAGAGGCATTAGAATTTTCACACAGTGACTTGCAACATGAAGCTCTCTCTGTCTCCTAAGATATATCAGAAGATCAAAAACCCAAATTCTGTTTAGCCTGGCAATTCTGCAGATTTCAGCTGTGCAAGCCCTCCATACCTGTTAAGACTGGGATGCCTGCCACTGTCTGAAGTCCACTGTAGCACCATTAAAGGCTTTATGCAGAATTTGAGCTCTGCAGGGCCAGAGATTTTGAACAGAAGTCCCAGGGTTATGGGAAACAGTTATTTACCTTTACATTTAATTATGATTTCTTGAGCTGTGTTGTTACGTGTTAGCAGCAGCTGGCTTATAGCAGTGTGGCAATCTGATGGCCACACACATCTGCTATTCCGCAGTGTGAAATTTATTTTAAGGCATATTTTAGGAAAGCAGGACAACTGCTTCATAGAAACTTACCAGAAAAAAAGTCCCAGTGTTCAAACACTATATAGTATGTAACCAAGAATGACTGTCAGCATGGCAATCTTAGGATGAAATTAAATACAGACTTCATTGCTGTTCCTAAAGAACATACTCTTCCCTTTGCACCTTTGTACCTTGTGAAAAAATACGAATGCACTCACTTCTGAAACTGTATAGGTCTGATAAAAATAATTTAGAGGTACAAATGCTTCTTAAAGAACCTGAGAAGCTGTTGAAATCCTTGTGAAATAACCTTTAATTTACCTAACTGGGCAGTGTTTTTTAAGAGAATGCAGGAACCATTTAGGACTTAATCTCAGAAGGGTGAATTGAGCTTGCCTTGCAGACTCATGCTACTGCAGATTCACTGAAGAGACCAAGTTTCCTTTTTCAAACTACAGCTTCACCATGCTGCAGAATGCAGCACAGCCATGCCCTCAAAGGACAACTGGTAGAAATGGGATGTATTTTCCCTTTGACAAAGCTACATATCAGTTAGATAACAGTTGATATTCCCAGCAATTTAGCTGCATTTAAGTACAAAGAGTACTCTCAAAACATCACAGTAATTAAACCTAATCTCTGCATAACTGGAATGTGACTTCAGGAAAGCAGCTTAAGTATAAACTTCAAAATAATTTTACAAAGAAAATTTAGGTGAGATTTCAATGAAATAACTACTTATGTAAAAAAAAAACAAGGTTTGTAATCATGCCATGATAGGGTTATTAATTCAGCATATCATATGCTGAATACATTAGATAGCAGAGGGGGGGGGGAAAAAAAAAGTATTAATCTGGCAGTTAGAACAGAAGGGCTATCAACATGTCAAAACCTTGGTAAGCATCAGCTAAAGGGAGTTTTAGAGTGCAGTTTTGAGACCTGACATACAACAGCCAGCAGTAGCTCTCTGGGAGCTGTATATATGCAGGACACAACTTGGATGGTTTATAAAAGCCACAGTATTTTCAGATTTATAAGACTACACAGAAGTACATGAGAAGACATTTCAGCCTTTCTACCATACTATTTCTTCTAATGAGCTTTCTCATTATCAGGGCTCTTGCTTAGCCAGCTGTGCTTTCTGTAATTAAACTCACTGACAAAGAATTTGACTAACATTTCCACATTGGTTTCAGCATTTCTCTATCATTCCAAATTCCAAAATAAATTAAAAAAGTGTACCATGATATCTCTTCAGTTTATTTTGTTCCAGTAGTGTTTTCACTTTTTTGACCAGTTCTTCTCTGTTTTTTTCCATGAGCCTTCTGTCTTTCTTCATTTGTTCCAATTGTTCTACCATCTTGTTTTCTAAAGATATTACAATTATATTTAGCAATCATCTGGATACTGCAAGGAGGAAAGATCAATCAAGATTTTTATAATCCACCCATCATATATCATGCCAAAAACTCTGCTAGAATAGGCAGTAGAAATTCTTTTATTTTAATAAACCATCTAAATTTTGGAAATGGCTTCTGCATTAGAAGAAAATGAGTAGACCAGCATGCATTCAGGCATTTATATACATACAAACAGTACACATCCTGTTAAATGCCTGTGGAATATATTGGAAAAATAACTTTCAGAAACTATTTAGATGTACATACATTGAAAACTCCTGACAGATAAGGATAGAAAACCTCTTGAGGACTATTTCCTGCTCAAAATATTTCTGATAAAATCTGTAGCAAAATTTTGCCTTAAACAATAGATAGCAAATAGTTAAGATAATATCTCAGACTTCAACGAGTGTGCAACAACAGGTCAATCACGAACATTTTTTATATACTTCTCCTATAAGTAGCTGAGGATCATCAGCAAGTGACCATCTTCATCTTTGCTACATTCTAATGTAAATCAACAGTATTTTACCCAGTCTCCCTCCTTATCTCCCCCATTATCCAAACAGAAAATTTGTAACAATCTGATGGATAAATATATGCACAAATTCTTTCAAAAGGTAAGTATTTCTGTCTTCATATTACATATTAACTCCCCAGAAATTTCTTGGAAGCACATACTTTCTGCCTGAACTGCTGGAACTTGAGCTGTGCTTACAGAAATTGCCAGAAGAGGTAGACTAGGAGGAGAAGCATATTCTTTTGGACAAGTCGGATCATTTTGATTGTTCTCATTTGCCTAGTGAGTCAAAAGACAAGTACATGATTTACAATCCAGAACAGTTACATTAAACATACATTCTGAGAGTGGTCTGAGTGATTGTGAGGGATTAATGGATCCTGAATACTATCTCTTTTTTATTCTGCCTGTAGGAATGATTACTAAAATCCAAACAGATGGACATCTACCAACAGAATCAGAACAGTCAACACTGAAACTGCAGAGGAAAACACAATGTCCATGTTGTACACTATTGCTAAATATTCTTGTCCATGTCCATAACTTCACAAGATGCTGACATACCCATATAAGACCAGAAATAACTGGCTTTAAAACTATGCTCATTGGGTAGCAAAAGCTGGACTGCCTATTTCTAAACTAGCACTTATAATTACTCACAGGATACAAGTAATAGGGAGGATATTATGCTGTATGATTGCAGGCTGTGTCTTCCTAAATATGTCCTTATTCTGATGCTATGACAATTCCATACATATGCTTTAAATAATTTTATATTTTTAATGAAATTTTTTGCTTGAGATAAAACTAATATTTATCCCATTGGAAATAATTAAATTATAGAAAATGCCACTGATAAAGTCAATACAATGTCACTATCAAGAAATTATAAATAATAATAATAATAAATAAATTGGCTAATATGAATAAGATTGAGGTGGTTACTATATAAATAGATTATAACCAAAAGTACCACTTCCCATGATTTCATTATTTAGAAATATGGTTGATTTTTCATTAGCAAATCTCCAAAGCAGCACTAAATGAATTAATTTACTCAATTACTCTAAAATCTACATCAAACATTTCATATTTCTAATGAGTTACCCGTCTTACAAAATTACCCTTTTTCTAGGTGGAGGATTATGCTTACTGCTCCACATTACAAAGAATATTCTAATTTGAAAAACAAACCTGATCATCCAGGTTTTCACCAAGAACAGTTACAGACTTGCTAGTTCTGTACGGCAGCAACCTAAAGATAAAATTGAATTACGTGATAATTAATGGAATGATGTGGAGTTTCTTTTCCATTTTTTTTCACTTACTTGAATTTTGTAAAATAAGCTTCTACTCATGAATTGATGGTATTCACTGTTTGGTCAGAATCATTATTTACTAACCTTTGGTTTTTGTGTATGTATTCTGTGGTTTGGTCTTCCAGTGTTCTGTGAACTCCAGATTGCTGTGTTCTGTCTCCTCTTAGTGTGCCATCTTTTTGGTGATCATTATTTTCCACGTTTGTAATTAGCCTGCTGTTTAGTTCTGTGACAGAATAATGATAACCAAAATATATAGATTATAATCATAAACTTCAAGCACTTTTAATCATAAATCAGTTCAATACATAAGATTATCTCTGGGGTAAATAATGTTTTTGTGATTAACACGGGAAATAAATAAATGAAAAAATCACTTGTTTTAGCAATTTGTATCTATCTCTTTCTGGTAACTAGTAGAGAAACATTACAGCAGATAAGGAAATCATTTAGATTACATTTCCTAAAATAGCTCTCTACTACTTTCTGCCGTTCAGAGACTGAAATTCTCTGACAAACTGGAGCTGGTAAAGAAAGTCAGCAAAACATTTTGCATTTCAATGTTATCAGCTGTAAGTTGTATACAGTAAATCTTTCAGAAGAAAACTGCTGACAGACTTTGCCTACCCTTTGTGCAACAAAATCCTCCATCCTTCATCATTCAAAACAAAGTTATGGAAAACTTTTCAATCATGTATATAAACACATATATATGAAAATACACATATAGATGTATTTCTATATTAACTGGCTTCAAACTTCAGTTGACATGATAATGGAGGGACAACGCTATTTTTTATGGATTATGAATGGAAACTGAAAAGCCTTTTCTAACACACTCTTCAGACATGTCTAAAAGAACACAATATCAAATTTTTTGTTTTCTTACTCAAAGTACTATATATCAAGAATAATTTTAAATGAGATCAGTAAAGTGCCCATAACTATCACAAAATTGAATATAATCTCATTTAATAATTTCTTGTTAAAAATTTGCAACAAAAGAAGGTTCACCTTTTTATATTAACTGTAAAATTATATACAAATATTAAGATTTATCTTTCAAAATTATTTCCTAATAAACAATTTATTTTGTCATTTTGATGCTAATTTAATAGTGGTCACTCAAATCTAATTTGAATGCCTTGGTCACTTCTTCATTTGTAGTTACTAGAAATTTAGGACAATTAAGAACATTAGATAACTGTTTAGAGACTTAATTTCTCTCAATATCCTGAGACACCCCATTTTATAGAAAATATTTAATAGATGTCTTTCAGACAACATTTTCTATCTGGGCACAGAACTGCTACCCAGTTTATGTGAGCTTTAAATCACTCCATACTCTCATATATCTTCACTATAGTCTGTTCAAAGAGTTTTCTTGCCTCTCAGTTTTAGAAATGCCACTGTTCACTAGTATTAAATAACAGTAAGTCCACATTACATAGGAGGATAGAAAGCAATTTCCCTTCAGTAGTAACATAGCCATGGATAAGATAACCATGAAAGATGAAGTGAATGAATGGCTTTCCATGGTTTCCTGATAACAATTTTTTTTTCATTTAAAATTGCTTTTGAATTACAGGATCATTACCTTCCAATCTTTACAGTACCTGCTTAGCATTTTGTTTCCATATTAAGTTCAGGCAAACGCACTGACTATATTGAAATGTTTCTCTGTAACAGTATATAACAAATCACTCATACAACATAAAAGGTACACTTTGAAAGATAATATTATTTTAAAAGTTAGAGTACTGCTCTGACAGCAATGTTTCAACTTATGCTGTACCAACAGGTTTTTTTAAATTTAGCTTTACTCTGCCAATTTTCTAGAAAGCTTGGTTTAGCAACAAGATGACAGTGAACTGTACCTTTTGGATATGTCATGAGATTTTGATGTGTTTGGTTATTTTGGTCTTGTTCATCACTGTGGTTTACATGAAGAGTAAGAGCAGTTCCTTTGGCTTTGTCATTCAACTTAGGAGCATGAGGCTCCTTTGGATCCTGGCTGAGATGGCTATGCTGGGAGTTCTTTTGTACTATACAGCTTTTTCCAGTCCCTTGATCTGCAGGATTTAAAGGACTTGGTGTGAAGAGAGATCCCTTGGATCCAATTCGATCTACAAAATAATTGATATAGAAAAGAGAAATATTATTTCATGGTAAATGTTAACTATAATAGTTCTCCTTCTTCACTGCACTGGTTAAACGTACCTTTCTCTCTGAACTGTGTCTGTGTTTCTGTAATCCTGTTGTGGTCTTGCTCATGACTCGTGTGCAATACTGGAAGAGATTCCTTCTCAGACCATTCTGCAGGACTGTACACTTTCTGATTTTCTAGCTGATGACTGCTCTGTATGTTTTCTAAAAATTGTTTGCTTTCAGTTTTCTGTTGGGGAAGATTAGGTAGTCTTGATCCATGACCATACCTATAAGTTTCCGCATTAAAGTGATGTCTTTGTTGTGTTGATGATGATAAAGGATAAACATCTTCAAAATATTCCACTTGAGGTAATAAATATAATTCAGGATACAGTGCCTAAAATATGCAGTATATTAAACAGAAAAAAAGAAATGTACAAGCTTTTGAAAATGATATCTTAAATGCCATGAAATACATACATAAGGGGGAGCAAACGATTTCAGTTTCAGCTCTGCTTCTTGCTTTGCTTTCACCTGGAAGATAAAAAGCAGAAGATAATTGATAAAATACTTCTCTTACCAATAATGTTGTGCATTTAATAATTAATGTTGTTAATTTTTGTATTCTATTTGCTGTCTTTACATACTACATTTTTCTTCCGCAACAGCCTGATGGAGAGAAGAAACATAGAATGCTACTCTGTTTTCTGACACGGCACTGAAACTATTCTACCTTTCAAAATTTAAATCAGACACACAAGAGTACATGTATGTGTTTCTGCTGTGGTTCAAAGGACTCAACCCAACAATGACAGCAGTAGAAAGTCTACCTTTACTAGAAGTTGCTTCAAGTCAAATCTGAACAGAAATGCCAAGTCTAACATAATTTTCTCTATTCACCTCATACAACAATGCAGAATATTTGGTGTCTATAGAAAAAAAAAAAAACTCTCCTATGCCTTGCAGTATTTATTGTCTTGGTATTCTTTGTATGATGTATGTTTTCAGATTTCAACAGCTGTTCTAAAAAAAAAAAAAAATTAAAGGTAATCAATATAAACTGGAAAGACCATTGGAATACACCATTAGATAAATATTCTGAGCTTGCAATTAAGCGATGAAATAACAAAATTAAATTAACATGGGGCCAAATTCTGTTCTCAAAAATGGCCACACAGTGAGACACAAACTATATAAAAGGAAGAACAAATTAAAATGGTTTTGACTGGAATTCATTTAACGACCTGCATTTGCAAGCAAACTACAACTCTCAGTACTGTTTACACTGTAAACATTGTGAAACGGAACACTGAGAAAATAAACAAACTCAATAAATATTTGATCATGGAGAGGTAATTCAATTAGGTTACCATGACCCTAAACAATAAATGAACTAGTTATTTGGTTCATTGTTTTACCCTCTGTTACAAAGCAGATATAAAGGAATGCTAAATTATATCTTTAACTCATTGCTAAAAAACCTTTACTTGTATCTAATGTATTCAATTGTCTATTAAAAGCAAAATATGTTATTAAATCCCTTGTCATTCTCAAGGGAGCTGGAAAATTTCTCCATTTACCTCAGATCTGACAGTGAGGAAGAAAACATATCATCTCAGTTACTATCATCCAGTTACAAACATCTGAAATTTTTGTAGGTTTATGCATATTTTCAGATTTAGGTTGCATCACAGTCCTGAAGCTCCTGTTCAAGCCTTTTCACCTACTTTTTACACATTACTTGGTATTTATTCTAGATTTCTGTGTGGGTAATTTTAGTGATACTGACTATAAATGAAATCAAGAGCAGCACCAACTTTCTGCCCTGTAATTAATTTCCAAATCCATTTCCAAGCAGGTGAAAAAAGTCTTTAAAATCTACATACATGTATCCATATATATATCTATCTACATATATCTATATACAGGTTTTTTGTGTGTTACTCAAATGCACTTTCAGTTGATCTGATTTTCAAGTTTATTTACTTTAGCTATCGTTTGTAAGATAGATAAATATACAGAAAATCAGAGTGAGGAACAATTATGATTCAGAGACACAGTTTTCTGATTGCATAAACCTTCTCAAGCTGTATTAGTGGACTGATTTAAGGACATGAAATTTACCTTCAGAGAAGCTTTCACTCAGAGACTGATCTTTAAAGGCTATTGGCAAGGTTGCAGGTTCCTCCCTTTTAAGGAATTCTGACTTAGTCAACTCCCATTGCAAATTCTTCAAATGCCATACTCCTAACCATGTACTGACCTTGGGGGAATATTTTTTATTCAGCTAGAATAGTTACATTTAATCTATTGTCTTAGCATCTTCCACTGGATCGCAACTAATTACATCTGATGATTTAAAGGATATTTAAAGCTGTGTGTTTGTATTTGGGGAAAAATACAAGAGCTCATTCTTGAACGCATCTAAAATTGAATGGTGACAGAGCTCCTAAAGTTATCTAGTGGGTGGCATCCCTGCCCAAGGCAGTGGGGTTGTAACTGGATGATGATTAAAGTCCCTTCCAACCCAAGTCATTGTACAAGGGCTGCTCCAAAAGTAATGCCTCCTGTTTTACTACATTGGCCTATATATTGGCCCACAATGTCAGAGGTGGATGTTGGTGGGATGGCAGTAGGGGTTGAACCTTCTCACCCCATTAAATTTTGTTGCCATATGACAGGTGGCAGCAGAGGGGCAGTCTGTCAGAATGGAGTCTGACATGGAAGTATGGATGAAGCAAAGGTGCGTCAATGAACTCCTCTATAAGGAAGCAGTGGCACCCACTAACATTCACTGATGCTTGCTGAATGTTTATGGAGACCAAACAGTGAATGTGAGCACAGAGAAGTGATGGGAGGTGCATTTCAGCAATGTGAAAGACAAGCCATGTTTCGGACAGCTCATACACAGCTGTCACATCATGAAATGAAAAGTGTCTCCATCAGCTCATCTACACAGTTGGCTAATGGCAGTGACTACACTGAAAAATAGTGTTGTGTAGCTGAGAATTTGTTCTATCAAATAATGTTATTCTCTTTGTGTATGTTGTATTTTCCATGAGAATAAACAGGAGGCATTACTTCTGAAGTGACCTACATATGATTCTATGATATTTTCTAACCAGCAGGGACCAAATCCATAGTTTACACTATAAAGCAGAAGTGCATTAAAGGGAAATATATATATATAAAAATAAATGAACTTACCACTGCAAGCTTTTTCCCAATGCATTTTAAAAATTGGAATTTGTCTGCAACTGCAACTCCACCCAGGTATTCTCCAAGCTTCTCTCGTAGCATTCTTAATGTAGTGTGAGGAGACACCCTAAAATGTTGTTATTCATTAATACATCTATAAGATCAAACAATGATGGCTAGCTAGTACGAGGGGAAAGATAATGATATTTAAATGTTGGCTTGCATGGAAAGAATGAACAAAAAAGGGAACTCTTTTCTGAAACAGTACCTAATTACTTGTAGATCAGAGATGTTTGGTGTGGCAGAAATCAGCACATTGTATCACGTTATAGTAGACTGTATTAAAAGGCTGTCATAACATCAGCTAGCAATATTCATACTTAAGGAATCCCACATGCAGTGAGTATACGAGAGTGCCTGAAATTTGAAAAAGATTCCTTTAGGAATCCTTTAGGAATGAATAACAAAAGCACTGGAAACTACAGTCATTCATTTCCATTTCGGTGGACTGTGAGACATCCACATTTAAGCACTAAGGACAACAGGATAATTCATCACCTTAAGTGCCAAGCACATTCCTTTGGTTTTCTCTTCTCCAACACTAATTTATAGTAGGGTGTGTGTATATGTACATGCAAATGTATTTTAAATCAAAACCAAACACTGTATTGTGAACATTTCTATCATAGTTTCAGAATGAGAAAGCTGATGCAAATACAAATTAGATAATTTAATCTACTACAGGAAATCATGCAAATATCAAAGTAATGAACTCAGTACCAAAATCATCATATCATAGAATCGTATTTTCAGCCTGGGTTGAAAAGGACCTCAAAGATCATCTAGTTTCAACCCCCCTGCTATGTGCAGGGTAGCCAGCCACTACTAGACCAGGCTGCCCAGAGCCACATCCAGCCTGTCCTTGAATGCCTCCAGGGATGGGGCATCCACAGCCTCCTTGGGCAACCTGTTCCAGTGCATCACCACCTTCTGAGTGAAAAACCTCCTCCTAATATCTAACCGAAACCTCCCCTGTCTTAGTTTAAAACCATTCCCCCTTGTCCTGTCACTACCACTGTCTTTCCCCCTCCTGTTTACATGCTCCTTTCAAGTACTGGAAGACCACAACGAGGTCTTCCCAGAGCCTTCTCTTCTCCAAGCTAAACAAGTCCAGTTCCCTCAACTTTTCTTCAGAGGTGCTTCAGCCCTCTAATCATCTTAGTGGTCCTCCTCTGGACTTGTTCCAAGAGCTCTGCATCTTTCTTGTGCTGGGGACCCCAGGCCTGCATGCAGTACTCCAGATGAGGCCTCACAAGAGCTGAGTAGAGGGGGACAATCACCTCCCTCTCCCTGCTGGCCACCCCTTTTTAAATGCAGCCCCAAACACAGTTGGCCTTCTGGGCTGCAAATGCACACTGCCGGCTCATGTTCAGCTTCTCATCCGCCAGGACCCCCAAGTCCCTCTCTGCAGGACTGCTCTCAAGGAGACCTTCCCACAGTTTAGATAAATACTTGGGATTGCCCTGGTCCAAGTGCAGCACCTTGCACTTGGCCTCGCTGAACCTCATTAGGTTCTCATGGGCCCACTTCCCCAGCCTGTCCAGGTCCCTCTGAATGGTTTCCCTTCCCTCCAGAATATCAACCACACCGCTCAGCTTGGTGTCATATGCAAACTTGCTGAGGGTGCACTCAATTCCAATAAATATGCACCTCCATAGATTGAAACCAAATGTGCAAGAGTCACACAAAAGCTCTGCATCACAACATGAGCAGTTCTAATTGCTTCTATCTTGCCATATAAAACAAACCAGGGAACAAAATCAGGCCCGAGACTGTTAATCATCCACGCTGCTGAAGTGTTAGTACATTACCTTGCAGCGTTTCATACCTCGCAGGGTTTTGGCCCAGGCCAGCTGTCACTCTTGAAGCGATGCTCAGATATAGCTTGGGGTACGGGACATACCATTCTCAGTAAATAGTATGGACAAGGACATACCAACCCTTCATCTTGGGCAGATCTTCAGCACTGACCCAGCAGAGTTGCACTCTATGCCTTCATTTCATATCCATTATATATAAAACACCCCCAGCTCCATAGGATAAAAACTGTTTCAGTGAGCTACAATGTTTCAAGTGTTATTTCACACATGGGACTCAAAAGACCTTCCTCAGGATTATAATTCTGCTTGGAGCACAGGAGCTGAGGACATCCAGGGTCAAGCAGTCTGCAGAGTGGATATATCTAGGCCATCCTACTTTGTCTCTGAACATCTAGCTTCTACTTATTTCTTTGCTATCCACATTTTGCCCACACCTGATGCAGATGTCATTTATTTCAAGTATATAAAGAAATACGTGAAAGATGGAAACATAATTCAACACACATCCTATCAGGGTCGTATGTGAGAAAAGAGATAATCTGTAATTCAAATATGTCTCCTCTAAGCTTTCCTCAAACTGATTTCTCAAAGCAGATATGTCCTTTGAACTATCTTCTGAAATCCAAAAATTGCAAACTCTTTCAGAGGCAATTCTAAAACTGTGTATCCTTCACTGATAATGCCCTTTCAAACTAGCAGAGAAATCTAAATCTAAGGTATGTATGAGCAGCAAGGAAAATATTCAAGTAACTATGATAATGTATCACAGAAGAAAATCATTTAGGTATACAGAACCTGGAATACACAACAGAAATTGATGTTTGCTAGTGCAGCTGCTATGAACATATAATGACATATTTCTTACTTGCTGCCACTGGCTAACAGAAGCCTAGTCACACTGAGTCATTTCCTTCAAAGTGTTCCTTTAAAAATAATGCAAACTAGAGTTTACTGCAGCTATCTCATCTAGAAATAACAAAAGTATTGGTTCTGTGGTGAGGAATGAGGAATAAATAAAAGATCACATAGGCCGAGAAATCAAGTTCATGGGAACAAGAACCCTGAGCTGCAGATGATTATACACTTAATATTTTCCTCTAATTTCATGATTAATGGAAGTGGCCTGTACTTACATCTGGCAGTCCTTTGTTGAGCTGACACACACAGTAATAGGATCACCAAACTGGATGGGCAGACCTATCAGCACAATTTGCACCAACAGGGCTGCTGTTCTCTCTCCCAGGTTAAACTAAGAGAAGATTCTTAGAATATTTTATGTTTTAAAGACAGTGATAAGCTGGTCCAGTGTTAGTTACCGCTAGAGCCTATGTACTGTAGCATTGTATTGCACTCACAGAATAATTAATAATTAATTACTTTACACTCTTTAGTATGCAACAAATACCTAGACATATCATCGAACTGCAGAATGGCTTGAATTGGAAAGGACTTCAAAGACCATTTGCTTCCAACTCCTGCCACAGCAGGGTCACCCCCACCAGATGAAGCTGTCCAGGACCCCATCCAGCCTGGCCCTAAACACCTCCAGGGACGGGGCATCCACAGCTTCTCCAGGCAGCCTGCTCAGTGCCTCACCACCTTCACTGTGAAGAAGTGCTCCCTAGTACCTAATTTAAATCTGCCCTTTTTTAGTTAAAATCGTCATCCCTTGTCCAGTCACTACAGGTCCTTGTAAAAAGTTTCTCCCCCTCCCTCTTAGAAGCCCCATTCATTACTGAAAGACTGTAATAACAACTCCCTGCAGTCTTCTCCTCTCCAGGCTGAACAAGCCCAGATCACTTTGCTTGTCTTCGTATGAAAGGAGCTCCAGCCAGGACAGGATATCTAGATCATCTTCCCTCTGGACCTGCTCTAATAGATCCATGTCTCTCTTGTGTTACAAACTCATTGAAATCAATAAAAATCCTAATTTAAGTTGTTGCTTCAGAACTGAGCCTTAATGAAATAAATTTACTCCAGAGAATGCAGGACAGACACGTGAAATGATTTGCCACTCCTGCTTTGTATTTTGCACCTCTACTGGAGATTTGTACAGTAGAGTGGGTATGCCAATTTTTTCAGTTACATAATATATTGTCTTAAGGGGACAATACAAACTTAAATTTAAATGAGTTGAAACCTGCAAATCCTACTAAGTTGACAGGTTTTGCGCATGAACAGAGGAGATGCATGTAAAAGCTCCATTCCAACACAAACCTTTACATTATTTGACTTCGTCTGCAACTTCTTTCTATGGCAAACAGACACAGATTTTGTGAGCAAAGTGTTTAGGAGCACAGACCAAACTGACTTCCACAAAGTCCTCTGAGAGCACACACTGTGGGCAGCCTTTTAGAAATATTATAGAAGAAAGAAGATATGCAGATGGTTTCCCAGCTCTAATGCATCCCTTTTTGATATGCAGCTTAATCTTTTTCTTTAGATGAAGAGGGCTCAGTGACAGGCTTTCCCACCTCCACTGAGCCACTCCATCTCAAAGCTGGTACACCATGGAAAAGAATTCAAGATTTTAAAAGTCAAACTCCAGAAGTATAAGACTGTGATTTTACAACAAAAAATATTCTGCAGCAATACTAGCACTGCTCTAAAAGTACATTTCAATGGTTTAAATCAAGGGCTGCATTGTCCTGGTAACAGTACAAACAGAACCAGAATGAGAGGTAGTGGCTCTAAGTTGTGCTGGGGAGTTTCAGGCTGGATATCAGGAAAAATATCATCTCTGAAAGAGAGGTGAGGCGTTAGACCAGGATGCCCAGAGAGGTAGAGTTGCTGTCTTTGGAAGAAGAAACTGAGGGACATGGTTAGTGGGAATGGTTTGACTTGGTAATCTTAGTGGGTTTTTCCAACTTTAATGATTCTATTAAATAGACACAGGCACCACTTATTCTCCAGAGATGAGTAGAGAACAAGCCTCTTCTAACAGGTATAATTATGCTTGGTGCTTAACCCTAACCCTTACAGAGCAACAGCTAGACCAGATGACTGGAAGACAACATAGAGGACCAACCAAGTAAATATTTTATAGGTGTTATCACATTTGAGACTAAGAGTGTGCTCACCTTATAAACCCAGCTGAGATGAATTTGCTGGCAAGAGCCAAAGGAACTGTATTCAGCTTGAAGTTCCACACTTCCTCTGGGACAAAAAAGACATGGAGCTCCACCAGCTAAACAAATCAATTAATTGTTAAGATGATCTTAACAGTAAATATATATTATAATTCTCTTCTTATTAACTCTGTTTTGCTTAACTGGACTTTCAGTTTTGGAGGCAGGAATGGTTTATTTAATGCTCGTACAGACCCAAGCAAGGCTCTATCTCCAGTGATGACCCAATAAACTAGAACAGCAATGAGCAGAACAGTCCACGACTGCCAGGTGACGGCACAGAAATAAGTCACATCAGAACAAGTGGAAATGAGAAAAAAGAGAGTCTGTGTTTCTGCTGTATGTCACTGTGACAGCGACAGACACAGCCTAACAAAAAGCATATGGCATGAATACAAGAATACTTCGGCTAAAATCACGCCTTTATTCATTTCATAAAAAGTGGAAAGCCATAAAAGCTTGATCCAAACTCAATAGAAAGTGTCAACAAGAAAAAAAAAAAACTTTTTTTTTTTTTTTTTTCTGATAGTTATTAATAACACTAATGACTCTGGAGCACAGAAGGGCTCTTGGTAATGCTTGCAATGCTCTGAGCAATGCTCACCCACAGTGCCTTCAGACCTGCGGTCCCGGTGGGACCTCCTGGTCTGGGTCCTGGTACTTCCAGTGAACATCAAATGGCGCAGGCAAGGATGGGACACACTTCTGAAAATCATTCCCAATTTCCACTCCAGGCACCATGCAAATAAGCTAAATTAAGCATTTATTCAATTGTTGAGTTACTAAATAAAAACTTGGAAAGGCACGCTCTTCCTTTCAGGTCTCCCAGAGACAGCGTAGTCTCACTTATTTTAATGCATGTATACATTTATTCTTTTTATGAAATCTAAAAAACCCTATGGAAAAGTCCAAAACCACTCACCTGGGATGTCTGAGGCCTCGTTTGGCCAAATGACATGCTGCCTGCTGTGCCTGACCACAGTGGGTGCCAGATGGGCTTCCTAATTTTCCTTCTGATTGAAACATTCTTTAAAATCGTGTTTCATGACACTCTGTCGCCAGAGAGGCTACTTTATTTTCCTTTCCCATTTATGAGAAGCACGTATCTGTCTCTGTGCCACAGCGGGCCCCTGCTCACTGCACACACCTCCCACACCTCCAACACAGCCCGTCACCTGGCACCCACTGGGCCCGGCCGCCCTCACACCGCCTGCAGCACTTCCTGCCGGCATCTCCCTAGGTGACTTCCTGCACAATTGTTCTGTGCGTCCAAAGACACAAACGGGACTCCCGCAGGGCCCGGGCTGATGTCTGACTTAGGGCCAACGCAGCGAGCCGCAGCCCAGCCACCTGTATGCAGCACATTCCACGTCGTACTGTCCAAACACAACACGCCATGGAAACCCGGCTGTCACGAAAAGCCCGGTTTGTCCCTAACGCTGATAACACAGACCGTCCCATCACTTCTCCGCAGCGGCTGCCGCCGGAGCACACGGCACAGCTCTCCCGGCACTCCCTGCACACACACACTTGCTACCGCTCCACGCCCTCGTGTCACCAGCCCGGGCGGGCCGCACTGCCGGCGGGCGACGGCCACGACCCGCTGCAGCCGGAACACAGCCGGAACACAGCCCCGCCGCTGGCTCTGCGGCTCAGCTCTTCCCCGCAGGGGCTTCGGCCGCGGAGCCCGGCGCAGCGCGAACCCGCACGCGGCTCCCCCGCCCTCCGCCCCGCGGCACCCGGCGGCTCCGCAGCGCCTCCCGAGGCGGTCCCAGTCCCGGTCCCGGCGGCGGTTGCGCAGGCGCCTCCGGGCCGAGAGTTTGGGACGCGTCGGAAAGTTGGGTCTGGGTGTGCCGCCTGCTGTCGCCGCCACCATGTCGGGCTCCTCCAATGTGGCGGCCATGAAGAAGGTGGTGCAGCAGCTGCGCCTGGAGGCCAGCGTGACTCGCGTCAAGGTGAGCAGCGGGCCCGGGGCGGCCGCGCCGCCATTACCGCTGGGGGCCGCGCCCCACGGCGCCCCTCGGAGGTGGCCGGGCCGAGCCGCGGGGCAGGGCGAGCGGGGCAGGGCGGGGCCGGGCCGGGCCGGGCCGACGGCTCCCGGCGCCCCGACGACCCTTCCCGGCGGCGGCGCGTCGTCCCGCGCCCCGGCCGTGGCACCGGAGGCCGACCCGCGCCCCGGAGCCGCACCGGCCCGGGGGCGGCCGCGTCCCTTCCTTTCGCCCGCCCCACCCTCCCGCTTCCCCCGGGCCGGCGGGGGCTGCGCTCCGGCCCGAGCGCTGCCCCGAGCGGGACGGCCGCGCCCCGCTCTCCCCTCTCATTTTCGTGCGCTGGGAGCGTCCTGCTGCCCGAGGCGGGGTAGCAACAGGTTGCTTGGCTGGCGCCTCGGCCCTGCGCTGGAAAATGGAGGCTCCGCTGCCAGGCGTGCCGAGGACGTGTCGAGGCGCTCCCTGGCTGCGGCTGGGCCTTGTCTCGTTGGAGGCACTCCGAGAAAACAGTCAGTCTTTGTGCGTTTAGCAAAGCGCTCCTCGAGATGTAGCGCTTCTTTCACGTTTCATACCTAGAGGCTTTTTAACATTAATTTTTCAAATAATCTCTATAACTTATTGACTGACTAACCAGAAGACGATTGCTTGACATCTGCTTAGGGTGTACTGCTGAATCACTTAACAGCGTTGTATTTCTTGATGCAATTACATCCCCTGCGCAGTCTGATCAGTGAGTGCTAACACCAGCTCTTCCTACGCCCAGGTTTCCCAGGCTGCTGTGGACCTGAAGCAGTTCTGCCTGCAGAACGCACAGCATGATCCCCTGCTGACAGGAGTATCATCGAGTACAAATCCATTCCGTCCCCAGAAAGTTTGTTCATTTTTGTAATTACGTGGACTACTTAGGTATCTTTCAGTGGTAAGTTCTTAAAGGCTCAAACTTTCTTCTGTCATTAAAAATAGCCTGCTTTAAGTGGGACCGTCTTTGTTTAAAGCATTCCAAAGAGACATCTGACTTGTATGGCTGGTGTTGGTCTGGATCCCCGTTTTGGTCCTTTGCTCCCAGACTGGGAGGGTAACTCTATACCAGACAGATTTTATAAGTGAGTAGCAGTTGGATGTTACAGGGCTCCAACCTGTTTCTGCTACTGTAGCCAAAGTAGTTGGGGGCCAGCTGTTACTGAGCTGCTATCTAGATTAACCTGGCTGTAATGTAGCTTTGCTGCAGTTTCCTTCTATGTTAAAAGCATCATTTCCTTTTTCTCACATAGGATTAGTTGCCTGAAGGGTTATGCAGTGAATGCCAATTGTAGCAGATAAAGCAGATTTTAGTTCTCAGGACTTAGTTTTTGAGCTCTTAAGGAGCACTTCCCAAAGAGGTTAGGTTAGTGATGCTCTCAAAGGAGAGCCCTGTCTGCTACAGAAAATACCCTCTAAGTAAAAAGGAAATTACATAGGCCAAGAATTGTATCAACACCCAAGTTCCCCTAAAATAGGCTACTACACACATTGCAGTTTAAATAACTAGAAACTGTTAAGTGCTCATTTGTATTTTTATTCTGAAACTTTCTTCAGTTCATTAACACTATTGCTGTCACTATGAAGACAATTGATCTGGCATTACCTGAAAATTCTAGTGATAAGACACAGATCAGGTTTAGATTCACAGAAGTCTTACCAAGACCGAGTCACAGAGTTCTTCTAGAGTAGTTCTTCTAGAGTAGTTCTTCTAGAGTAGTTCTTCTAGAGTAGTTCTTCTAGAGTAGTTCTTAAGTTTCCTTATTATGAATTCTATAAACTATTCATTTTTAAAAGATAACATTTCTGAACTGACTTGTGTTCCTAGTATTGTTGCTCCAGTTTTAAGCAGTAATTCATAGGGCAGAACAGGGTTAATATTCTTCTTAATTATTGCCCTTAAATGCCTTTTCTGATTAAGGAATTGAGCACTTCTTTTTGCTTATAGCTACAGGTAAAAGGCATCAGAATAGCAATTTAAACTACTTGCATGGAACAGGTTTTTTTTTCTCCCTTTCACCTCTTGCAAGCACTTCCTCAAAACAGTGAATTTCTTGTAATCCTGGTGTTTATGAGATGAGCCAATAGAGTTGACACTTGCACAGTCTGCACCAACTCTGTAGAGTGAAGAGGAAGTGTGATTTGTTAAGTTACCCAGACTCCCCCTGCTTTTCAAAGGTGAAGTAGATGCTCAATATTTCCATAGTCATCAAGTGACCAGAAACAACTTACTCTGCCCTTCTTCATAGATTTGGCTTCCAGGAGATGCAGCATGCCGGTTGTTTTGTACCAGCTTTGATCATCTTCTTGTACCCCCGGGGGATGGCTTCATGGTTTTGAAAAGCTTATTTTATAATTTGTTCTATTAAACAGCTGTAGAAAAAAGGAATTTTTTTAAGTAGCTGTCTATGCATATTCTTAAACGTAGGATTGCTTGTTATCTCTCTAACCACCTCATTTTGTTTCTTTTTCAGATCTTTTAGCATCTTTTCCTAGTTGCTGATGTCTGTTGAGGCAGAGTGCCTCAAGGAATGGCCTGGTTTGAAGTCTGTACAAAAGCTTAGCTTTCATGTGCCAAATCTAACTGTAAAATTGCTACTGTGTCAAACCTCTTACCATCTACCTCTCCAAAAGAACTGTATGCTAGTTACAATAATTCTGTTCATGAGGGAATCAGTTTTATATACCAAGCAAAAAATAAAGATGTTTTGACTTAGTTTTGTGTTGAAGTTGATCTAAGAAGTTGGGATATGTTGACACCTCATCAACTACTGCATCATTTTTCAGCAGCTGAAGATCTTAGGTGTTCTGTGGTGCTACAAGTGTGCCTTGGGCTGATACTCTTAAAGAAAGAGGCTTCATCACTAGTATGTTTAGAAGCATAGCAGAACAGGGAAAAACAGGTTTTGGCTCTTCTTTTATGATTCAACTACACAACTACAGCTACCTTTCCTAAAAGAGCAATTTGAGTCACTGGTGTACTTTTAGCCCCTTTATGTTAATACTAAAAAGCACTACTTCGGTACACAATGGAAAGAAAGTAATCCAAAAGAAAATGAATGTGCAAATTTAAGCCAGAACAAAAGGACATTCCTTCCACAGGTAGTACCAACTCAATTATAGTTATCACAACTGAAAAAACCATAAAGATTCTGATGGAGAAAATCCTTCTCAGAGACCTCACCTGTCCTGCTGAACTTTATTTACTTCTTGGAAGCTGGCCTTATGATTTAACTGGGCAGGATACTGGTGTGTTTTTTTTGTTTATTTGTTTTTGTTTTTTTTTAAACTAAAACTGTTAGAGGTTTAAAATATTTATTTCTTACCTGATTAAAATGCAGAATGACTCTGTTTAGGTGCTTAACAGGGAAGAAAATAAGCTATATATGTGAAAATATTTTATTTTGAAAATATTTTAACGCTGTCTTCAGTAAACTATAAGTTATTTACAGTACAGCAGCGGTCATAGCAAAGCTTCAGTGATAACATTTAA